TCCAGCTCCTCTTTTTCATGCAGGTTTTTAATTTTTTAAAGTTTTTTTTAATTTTATTTTAAACTTTTTACTTAATTTTTTTTTTCTTATTGGGTCACACCTGGCGATGCACAGGGGTTACTCCTGGCTCTGGACTCAGGAATCACTCCTGGCGGTGCTCAGGGGACCATATGGGATGCTGGGAATCGAACCCGGGTCGGCCGTGTGCAAGGCAAGCACCCTACCCGCTGTGCTATTGCTCCAGCCCCTACTTAAAAATTTTTTTTAAAATATTTTATTAGGAAATATTTTCAGTTTATTAGAGAACATACAATGCAGTACTGTACTCCCGTTGTTCATCGATTTGCTCGAGCGGGCCCAGTAACGTCTCCATTGGAGACTTTGTTGCTACTGTGTCTGGCATATCGAATACGTCACGGGGAGCTTGCCAGGCTCTGCCGTGCGGGCGAGATACTCTCGGTAGCTTGCCGGGCTCTCCGGGAGGGGCGGAGGAATTGAACCCGGCTCGGCTGGGCTGGTCACGCACAAAGCAAATGCCCTACCTGCTGTGCTATCGCTCCAGCCCCAATTTTTTTTAAAAAATTGTTTTTAGTTGTACATGGCAATCTGATTTTGATCCCCAGCATCCCATGTGGTCCCCTGAGCACCACCAGTAGATCCCTGAGCACAGAGCCAGACTCCCTGAGCATCACTGGGTCGTGCCTCCCCCACTCCCCCCACAAAAAAAGCGACATGCTTAGTCTCTGGCAGTGACCCTGATCCACAGTTCCCTTTGTCCCATAAGCCTGCAGATTCCAGCCCTGAACTGGCTCCAGGCCATTACGGAGGCAGTTGCACCTGGGAGATTGGTGCCCGCCCCCCCCCCCCCCAGGGCAATGCCCCTGAGGCTCAGGGTGCTTGGAGGTGGGCTAGTGCAGATTGTGTGTGTGGGAGACCCTGTTTGATGCCACGCACCGGGTGGTCCCCCAAGGACAACAGGAGCAAGCACAGAGCCTAAGCACTGCCAGGTGTGACACCCTACCCCCCTCCCAACAAAAACACAGGAGGAAGCACCCACCAGCACCCACACCAAAGTGTGTCCTCCCATGCATGCCTAGAACGACCTTGGGGCGAGCACGTGGAGGTTACAAGGTGGCTGTGGGACTGGGGCGTCCAGACCTGGTTGTCCCCACCCATGCAATCACTGGGAGTCTACGCTTTCCAGCCTGGGTAGGACCCAGAGGGAGAGCAGGGCAGCCACCAAGTCTGCAATCTGGCTGTGAGAGGCGGGGTGTGAGCGCCCCCTACTGCTCTCACCTGGAATGAGCTCGGAGGGACTCAGTCCTAATTGGCAAAATAAATCGGGATGCCTCAAGGGAGCCGATGGCTGGAGATGAAAGCGAGGCCCTCACGCTTGCAAGGCCTGCGTTCCAGCTTTCCTTTCGTGTGGGGGGCCACATTTCAGCGGTGCTCAGAGCACCATATGGGGTGCTGGGGAGCCAAACCCAGGTCAACTGTGTGCAAGGCAAGTGCCGTGTCTGCCGTTCCCCGCGGAGGAACCTGGAGGTGGGGCCCGTTTCCCCTTGCGGAAGGGTGTGATGGGAGGTGGTGAGCAGGCTGGTCCTGTGCAACGTCCCGGGCTCAAGTGCCCACACTGCCTGCACCCCCTACCCCAGCACCACCAGGTGCGGCCCCCAAATCAGACACCAATCCCTTGGCTGGCCTCTGATCTGCAAGGTGGCAGGTGCTCTCAGCTCTGGCCAGGAGCCCCCTGGAGGATCATGGGAAAAGCTGGCACACCTGCAGGGAGTCTTCTCCCGGGTTTGTGATCTTTGCGCCCCGAGGGCCTGGGTCCTACTCCCAGATGTGCCCGCAGGACCTCCCCTCCCCCTCGTACCCAACCATCCCCTTCCCACATTCTCAGGGATCCCGGGCTCAGCTTGGGGCATCAAGTGACCTCCAGTCTGGTGTCAGAGCTGGCTGGGAGGGGTTGCTCCTCGGGGGTGGGGTGGGGGGACACCCAGCAAGGGGGTCTGCACTTACTCAGTTTGCTCTCACATCCTTTCTGCCAGGTGAGGATGTGCACGGGACATTTGTGACCTACTCTTTTTTTTTTTTTTTTTTGCTTTTTGGGTCATACCCAGCATTGCACAGAGGGTGACATCTCGCTCTTGCACTCAGGAATTATTCCTGGCGGTGCTCAGGGGACCATATGGGATGCTGGGAATCGAACTCGGGTTGGCCGCACGCAAGGCAAACGCCCTACCCGCTGTGCTATCGCTCCAGCCCCTCATGTCCTACTCTATGGGGGCGTGGGGCGCAGTTCTGTGAAGTGACAGCAAGAACAAGAGACAACAGAGGGGGAGAGCAGGAGACAGCGGGAGACAGCAGAAGAGAGAGCAAGCCAGAAAGACGAGCAAGACGGACCTCGGCCACCTCTTCAGTGCAAACCTCAGGCCCTGAGCTGCAGTAACCCCCTCCACCCCCGCAGGTGGATCAGTGCCTGAGGATCTCCCCATTGCGGGATATGCCCGTGGGGTCTTCAGCCCCCCACCCTAGTCAAGCATGGAGCAGCAGCGGGGGAGGGGGGTTGGAGGAAGCCCAACTGGCTTCACAGCGCCCCGACACCCTGTTCCTGCCATGCACACGTCACCCACAATGGCCTCGTGCACCGGCTCCGGGCTAGCGGTGCGCAGGCCCGGGGCAGTGGCACCCATTTGCTCCAGTTCCTCAGAATTGATCTCAACAGCACCCACAGGTGCGGGGTTCTCTGAGGAGGATGGCAGGGGGTGCATTTTGCTGTCCACCCCTGCTCTTTGGGGTGCTTGCAAGTTGTCTGGGTCCCTCATGCCCTGCATGCTGGCCCACTCGGGTTCATGTCCTCCCTGACAAGGGCCATGCCACCTGTCCTGTGCTGTCGGCATCCCAGAGTCTCTCCTGGTGGCCAGGGTGGAGTCAGGTGGCAGGTCTGATCCCCATTTCCTCCCTCCGCTCCCTCTTCCTCGTGGGTGCAGGAGTAACCCTGTCTCAGGCTTGGCCATCTTTCCCAAGGTGCTGGCACTTGGCTGAGTGTCCAGGAGCCTGAGGTTTGGGGCTGCCAGACCCGGTGGCCCAGATGCGCTGAGCTGGGGACGGACAGCTGAACTCGTGTTCTCTAATGTCAGGAGCATCAGACTTAGCTGGAAGATGTGTCTGAACCCAGGGGGGTTCGAGGGAGAACCTGCATACAGTTCCCAGGCCACGGGGCGGGAACAGGGTCCCTAACCATGTGCCTGTCCCACCCCGCAGCACCTCTGAGAGTGAGTCCCCAGCAGGCCGACCCCTGCAGCAAGGATTCAGCACTGATTTGGGCAAGGAAAGTCCCACTGTGCTCAGGACAAGCCTCTCTGCAATTCTGTCAACTGGGCCAGCAGACCAAGGCCAGGATTTGATGCTGCTCGGGCCCTGGAGAGCGGGGAATGCCCAGAGCTCATCTGGCAGTGCTCAGGAGGCCGATCTGCATTGATTTCTGCAGATGCCTCCTAAGTTCTGCTCAGCAGTACTTATGTGGTACCCCGAGCTCAGGGACCACGTATGGTCCCCCAAGAACCGCAAGGAGTGACCCCTGAGCACAGAGATAGGAGTAGTCCCTGAGTTCCACAAGGCGTTGCCCCAAAGACAAAAATAAACGAATCCAGTGAAAGAGCCAAGAGGCCTGGGGATGTGGCTCCATCCCCAGGATGTAGGCACGAGACGCAGGGTCTGACCGTAGCACTGCCCCACCCCCCCCCCGCTGCGTATGACCTCCTGCATCCCCACAACAATGGGAAGGGGGGAGGGTTGAAAGAAGAAGCTCGCTTTCTCCATGAACTCTTCCCAGGTTGTTCCAGTAGACTCTATCCTCCACTCTTGTTTCCAAAACTCAGTAAATTTGGAGGGCAAAGAACATTCAGTCAACAAACAAGCATCAACAGAATCCGGGCAGCAGCCTGGAGCGACAGCACTGAGCAAAGAGAGCCCATCTTCCCTTCCACGCGGTCCAGGTACTTTCTTCCCTTCCCAACCTTGCTGAGTCCATCCAGAACCCCGGTGGTCCTCTCCCTTGGCACAGTCCTGCTGGGCCATCCAAACCACACCCGGTGGGACTCGGGGGCTACTCCCAGCCCTGTGCTCAGTGCCGGGGGTCCAACCTGGACCACCTGAGAGAATATTTTACCTTAGCAAGCAATAACCCTGGGGCGAAAGCGACAGTACAGAGGGTAAGGTGCTTGCCTTGCGTGCAGCCAACCAAGGTTCAATTCCTGGCATCCCATATCGACTCCCAAGTTCTACCAGGAGTGATTCCTGAGTGCAGAGTCAGGAGGAAGCCCTGAACACCACCAGTGTGGTCCCAAAAACAAAACTCAGGGGCTGGAGCAATAGCACAGCGGGTAGGGAGTCTGCCTCGCACGCGGCCGACCCAGGTTCGATTCCCAGCATCCCATATGGTCCCTGGAGCACCGCCAGGAGTGATTCTGAGTGCAAAGCCAGGAGTAACGCCTGAGCATCACCGGGTGTGACCCAAAAAGCAAAAAAAAAAAAACCCTCAAAGGAGGACATAATAGGGCCGTATTCACTCCCTCTCACCCCCATCCATTCAGGAGCACCCCATGCATACACACAATGACACACACCACACACACAAGCTCAGGAAACTCCCCTGACCTCTGTCCCCCAGTTTCCCCCTTTCCCACCCTCCCACGCACCTCTGGTCCTGCGTGCCCCCACAGGCTACACCCCCGGGCTCCCTCTCACCCTGCGTGTGCCTCCCTGCACAGTGCACCCACCCACGACCCTCCTTGGCCTGACTCCAGGGTCTGAGCCAAGGGGAGTTGCTCGAGGCTGGAGGAGAAAGAAGAACCCAGAAACTCCAGTAGGAAAAAGCTTTCCCCCGAAAAGGAAGTGTATTTCTCCACACAGGCACACGGTGCTCGGAAACTGGGCCCAGGATGCCAGCGGGGCCCCGCCTGTCTTCGGGGCCCTCTGTCCCGGGGTCCCTGGGAGCGCCTGCTCCCCGCCAGTCTGCGGAAGGTCCTGGGCAGGGCCCCGCTGTAGGAAGCGCGCCTCGGCCCTGTCCAGCACGCGGCCGTCCCTCCGGCCCAGCTCCCGCTCGCTCCCCCACGGGGTCTCCGGAGTCCTGGGGGTTCAGTTCCGTGCCGGCCCGAGAAGGGGTGCGGCGGGCCGTCCTGTCCGCGCCCGCGGCGCCTACACCCCCGTCTCCTCTTTGATCCACTCCCGGAACACAGGGAGCCTCGTGTACACGCCCGGCTTGTCCTTCTGCGCGCAGCCGTCGCCCCAGCTCACCACGCCCGCCTGGAAGATGCGGCCGTCGGCCTCCACGCTGGACAGGGGCCCCCCGGAGTCGCCCTGCGGGGAGGCGGCCAGGTAAGTGTCCCCGCTGCTGCCGACCCATCAGGAACCTGCCTCCCGCAGGTGATCAGCTCGGTTGATCGTAATCTCGTGCCCCAGCCCCCAGCCAAACCCCCACCGACCCTGCCCACCCAGCAGCAGCCCCATTCCCTCCCTGGCCTCCCCTCGCCCCGGGTCACCCCGGCCTGCTCTCACCCACCCAAGGCTCCGCCTCTTTCTGGGCCCACGAGGCCACGCCCCTCATTAGCATGCTGCATTGTTGCCACGCCCCTCATTAGCATGCTCCATTGTTGCCACGCCCCTTGCATGCCCCACCCCTTTCTGTGACCACTCCTGAACCCTTTCCTGTTTTGTTTTGTTTTTTTTGCTTTTTGGGGTCACACCCAGCGATGGTTACTCCTGTTTCACGCAGTCAGGAATTACTCCTGGCTGTGCTTGGAGGACCATATGCTCATATCGACCACCCGGTGCTCAGGGGACCATATGAGACGCTGGGAATCGAACCCGGGTCGGCCACGTGCAAGGCAAACGCCCTCCCCGCTGTGCTATCGCTCCAGCCCCTGAACCCTTCTCTGAATCCTGCTCCAGTCCCTGCCTGTTCTGTGCCCGGCACTGACACCACGCCCCTTTCTGGGCCCCGCCCCGAGGGCCCGCCCATCTACGATGCCCCGCCCCTCCCGCGGCCCCGCCCCTTCCGGAGGCCCCGCCCCGCGGCGCAGGCGCACCTGGCAGGAGTCCACGCCCCCGCTGAGGTAGCCCACGCACATCATGCGCGGGGTGATCTGCTGCGGGAGCAGCTTCTCGCAGGTGGTCTGGTTGATGACGCGGATCTCGCCCTTCTGCAGGATCAATGCCGGGGAGCCTGCGGGCGAGCAGAGCGAGGAGTGGCCGGGCGCAGCAGCACCCCGGGACCCCCGGGGCACCGCGCCCAAAGCACCCTCGGGCAGGGGCAGGTCACCAGCGGGAGGGTAGCGAGGCGGGGAGGAGCGCCCCCCAGAGTCTGCACACCGGGGGCTGGAGCGATAGCACAGCGGGTAGGGCGTTTGCCTTGCACGGGGCCGAGCCGGGGTTCGATTCCCAGCATCCCATATGGTCCCCTGAGCACCGCCAGGAGTAACTCCTGAGTGCAGAGCCAGGAGGAACCCCTGTGCATTGCTGGGTGTGACCCAAAAAGCAAAAAAAAAAAACCCAGAGTCTGCACACCTCGCTGGGAGGGGTCACTCCCGGCAGTGCTCTGGGCTGACTCCTGGCTCTGTGCTCAGGGGTAGCACTCTTGGCGCGACCACTCCCTCTCCCTTCCCCGCGTGCTCCCAGCAGAACAGCGACAGTGCAGCCCACTCGCGGCCACCCGGAAAGCAGGCGGACTTCGGGGAAGCCCTGGGGTGCGGCCACTCGGCTCACCTCCCTCCTTGGTGTGGCCCCAGCCGGTGACCCAGATGGCCTTGCCGGTGGGGAAGGAGTGCGTGGTGTCGGGCAGGCAGATGGGCCGCACCGTGTTGCTGTACTCGGCCGCCTTCTCCAGCTCCAGCAGCGCGATGTCGTAATCGAAGGTGAAGTCGTTGAAGGAGGGGTGTCGGATGATGCGCTTCAGCCCCAGCTTCTGCACCCCGGGGGCGCTGCGCTTGCTCTGGTCGTGCAGGCCCAGGAAAGCAGTCCACTTTTTGGGGTCCGAGTAGCTGGGGAGGGGAGCAGAAAGGCATAAGACCCTCAATGGGTGTTACTCTGCCCTCCCCCAGCACCCACTCACCCCTTTTCCCCCACTTCTCCCCTCCTCTTATTTCACTGATCTTTTGCTTTGGGCCCACACCCTGTGTCTCTCAGGGATTACTCCTGCCACTGCGCTCAGAGCTCACTCCTGGCGGGGCTCAGGGGACCATATGGGATGCCATGGCTGGAACCCGGGTCAGCCAAGAGCCGGCAAGGCAAGAGCCCTCCCCTGTTGTACCCCCCTGTTGCTATTGTTTTGGAGTCACACCTGTGCTGGACTCACTTCGGCAGGCCCAATGCTGGGTGCCGGGAATGAACCGCGGGTTGTGCACGCAAGGCAAGCGCCGTTCCTGCTGCACTCACTCCAGCCCCTCTCTCAAGATAGATATTTTTTATTTTATTGATTTATTTATTTTGCTTTTTTGATCACACCTGGCGTTGCACAGGGGTTCCTCCTGGCTCTGCACTCAGGAATCGCTCCTGGCGGTGCTCAGGGGACCATAGGGGATGCTGGGAATCGAACCTGGGTTGGCCGGGTTGGTCACGTGCAAGGCAGCCGCCCAACCCGCTGTGCTATCTCTCCAGCCCCTATATTTTTTAATTTTTATTAGTGAAACACCATGAGGTACAGTTGTGAACTTACAAGTTTTTGTGCCTGGGTTTCAGTTATACAATGATCGAGTACCCATCCCTCCACTAGTGCCCATTCTCCACCTCCAGTGCTCCCAGTATCCCTCCCACCCCCCATCCCACCCTGCCTCTGTGGCAGGACATTCCCTTTTGTTCTCTCTCCCTCTTTGGGTGCTGTGGTTTGCAAAAGAGGCATTGAGTGGCAATCATGTTTGGTCTCTAGTCTACTTTCAGCATGCTTCTCCCATCCTGGGAGGATCCTCCCAACACCTTTATTTGGTGCTCCCTTCTCTGTCTGAGCTGCCTTTTCCCCTAGCATGTGTGGTTGGCCTCCAAGCCATGGAGTGAACCTCCTGGTACTTATCTCGGCCATTCTTGGGTGTTAGTCTCCGATTTTGTTACTTTATGTTCCCCAGATGAATGCAATCTTTCTGTGTCTGTCCCTCTCTTCCTCGAGATGCATGCTTAGTTGATATTCCGTCCCTTCCCCTCAGTATTGGGGTAATGTGCGTCCGACACACCCAGCCGTGGTGCGGCAGGAAGTCACCGAGACACCCAGCGACCAAGATGGCCAATAGCTACCAGAATCACACTCATGTCGACACCAGGGAGCTGAATTCAGACCCCAGGCCCACACACCTGGACTCAGTCACTAATACTAGTCCTCAAGGCCCACAGATTGTCTTGTTCATCAGATCTTCCACAGGAGAAATAACAAACCCACCAAATCGTTTTTATATAAGGACGCTTTTTCGTTTGTGTTTTGGGGCCCCACCTGGCGGTTCTTAAGGTTTACTCCTGGCTGCGTGCTCGGGGACCAGTCGGGGAGTCTGTGGGGCGCGGGGGATGGGATCTGGGGACAGGGGCCCCCGCGGGAGGGAATCGAGCCAGGGACGCACCTGAAGATGAGCTCGTCGGTGTAGCAGTGCGCGGCGGACACCATCCAGTTGGGCGAGATGAGCGAGGCCCCGCACACGTGGCCCTGGTTCTGCGCGTGGAGACTCACCTGCCACGGCCACTCGCCCTCGTCCGCGTTCTTGCCCCCGACCACCCGGGATTGCCTGGTGAAGGGGCGCAGCCCGCAGTCTGGGGGGAGGCAGAGGGATGGCGAGATGAGAACCAGGGGACCCGCCCGCCCCACCCCCCACCGAGCTCCAAGCAGGGGCCTCAGAGCCTTGAGGTCCTCACCTGCCCCTCTCCTCGGCTTCCAAATCTAAACCCTCTCCCGACTGCAGAAAGTACAGGGGCTAAGGCGCTTGTCACATGCCGCCTTCGGCCGGCCCCAGCTGGATCCCTGGCCCTGCATATGGTCCCCCAGCACAGCCAGGGGGTCACTGTCACTGTCACTGTCCTCCCGTTGTTCATTGATTTGCTCGAGCGGGCCCAGTAACGTCTCCTTTGGAGACTTTGTTGTTACTGTGTCTGGCATATCGAGTACGTCACGGGGAGCTTGCCAGGCTCTGCCGTGCGGGCGAGATACTCTCGGTTGGCCATGTTGGCTGCGTGCAAGGCAAACGCCCTACCGCTGTGCTATCGCTCCAGCCCACAGCTAGGGGGTGCTCTTTTATTTATTTATTTTTTAACTTTATTTCACCACATCCAGCAGCGCTCAGCACTTACTCCTGGCTCTGCCTTCAGGAATCACTCTCAGCAGTTCTCAGGGGATAATATGGGGTGCTGGGAACTGAACCTGGGTTGGCCGCCTACAAGGCAAATGCCCTCCCCGCTGTACTATCACTCAGGGGTTACTCCCTCCTTGGTGCTCAGGGACCCTGCGGTGCTGGGGACTGAACCCAGGGCTCCAACATGCAAAACCCAAACTCCAGCCCCCGACTTCCTTATTGAGCACTGAGGGACGAGTATGTCATGTCACAGGACAGCTTCGTCCTCTGCCAGTGCCTTGGCGCTTGAAGAAGCTGGAAGTCAAAGCAAGGGGGAGGGGCTGGAGCGATAGCACAGCGGGTAGGGCATTTGTCTTGACTCCCGGGTTCGATTCCCAGCATCCCATATGGTCCCCCGAGCACCGCCAGGAGTAATTCCTGAGTGCATGAGCCAGGAGTAACCCCTGTGCATCGCCGGGTGTGACCCAACAAGCGAAAAAAGAGAAAAGCCCAGGGGAAGGCAGCAGCAGAAGCCTGCCAAAGGCTGCAGGTGGGGCAGAAAGCTGGGGCCAGGCCACCAGCCCAGACACAGTGGCCTGAGGAGCTGGGCTGCCCCAGCAGCAGGGCCTGCTCTGTTTGGTGCCGGCTGGCAGTCATTCTTTCTCCCAGGCCCTCACACCCCTCACCAGGGCAGAGCTGGACGAGGGAAGCCCCAGCCTGATGTCCACCACCGTCTGCGCTCTGCACAGTGAGTGACCTGCCCAACCGTCCAGGGCCCTCCTGCTCACCACAGTTCTTTTCATCCGAGCCGTCGCTACAGTCCTTCTTCCCATCACACTCGGGGTTGACCTTGCTCACACAGAGCCCGTTCTGGCAGCGATAGGTGTGTTTGGTGCAGGTGACAACGTTCACTGTGCGACGAGGACACGGGGAGAGGGAACCAACTTCTCAGTGGCACCAGTGGCACCAACCAGAACAGGGGCCTGACCCCTCACTCGGGCCTGTTCCCACCCAGACACACCCGCACGTGTCCTGCCAGCCCTGCTGACGCTTCTTCTGGAACCTTCGGGAAGGGCGAGCCACCCTTCACCACACTAAACAGGGAGGTGCATCCTTGGCCCCGCAGGTGTCGCCCGCCCCACCCCCACCCGCCCTTCTGGAAGGTTGCAGGGCAGGACAGCCCCAAGGACGTGGGCAGGGCCAAGCCGCACCTTTGTCACATTTGGCCTCATCTGAGCCATCCCCACAATCGTCCTTCCCGTCACACAGCTCCCGCTGCGAGAGGCATTTGCCACTCTTACACTTGAAGTTTTCAGCTGGACAACCTGGTGGGGGCACAAGGCACAGGGTACTTGCTGGGGGCAGGCGGGAATGGGGGTAACAGGGAGCACAGACAGTGCCCCCGCAGCTACTCAGACAGCCCCCCCTCAGTCCTCCCTCAGACAGTCCCCCCCACCCCCTCAGACAGCCCCGAACTCAGTTCCTCAGACAACCCCACAGACAGCCCTCCTCAGACAGCCCCCCCAACCCCCTCAGTCCTTCCTCAGACAACCCACCAGCATACCCTCAGGCAACCTCCCTCACAGCTCCCCCAGTCCCCCTCAGACAGCCCCCGCAGCCCCCTCTGTCCTTCCTCAGACAACACCCGGGCATACCCTCAGACAATCTCCCTCATAGCCCACCAACCCCCCTCAGACAGCCCCCCCACTCAGTTCCTCCTCAGACAGCCCCCCTCAGCCCCCAGTCCCCCACTCAGGCCTTCAGACAGCCCCCCACAAGTTCCCCCTCAGACAGCCCCCCACTCAGACAACCCGCACGGACAGCTCTCCTCAGACAGTTCCCCCCCAGGTCCCCCTCAGTCCTTCCTCAGTCAATCCAGCACATCCTCAGACAGCCCCCCACTCAGACAGCTCCTCTTCAGACAGTCCTCCCTCAGAAAGTCCCCCTCAGCCCCCAGTCTCTCACTTGGGCCCTCAGATAGCCCCCCACTCAGACAACCCCCACAGACAGCTTCCCTCAGATAGACCCCAGTCCCTGACTCAGCCCCCCTCAGACAGCCCCCTGCCTCAGATCCCTTCAGCACTCCCTCAGATAGCCCCCAACTCAGACAACCCCCCCACAGACAGCTCTCCTCAGACAGTCCCCGCCCAGGTCCCCCTCAGTCCTTCCTCAGTCACTCCAGCACATCCTCAGACAGTTCCTCCTCAGACAGTTCTCCCTCAGAAAGCCGCCCTCAGCCCCCAGTCCCCCACTCAGGCCCTCAGCCAGCCCCCACTCAGCTCCTCCTCAGTCCCCCCAGCACCCCTCAGACAGCTCCCCTCAGAGAGACCCCAGTCCCCCACTCAGCCCCCCCTCAGACGCCCCCCATCAGACGGTTCCTCCTCAGACAGTCCTCCCTCAGAAAGCCCCCCTCAGCCCCCAGTCCCCCACTCAGGCCCTCAGACAGCCCCCCTAGACAGTTCTCCCTCAGCTCCTCCTCAGTCCCCCCAGCACCCCTCAGACAGCTCCCCTCAGAGAGACCCCAGTCCCCCACTCAGTCCCCCCTCAGACGCCCCCCATCAGACAGTTCCTCCTCAGACAGTCCTCCCTCAGAAAGCCCCCCTCAGCCCCCAGTCCCCTACTCAGGCCCTCAGCCAGCCCCCACTCAGCTCCTCCTCAGTCCCCCCAGCACCCCTCAGACAGCTCCCCTCAGAGAGACCCCAGTGCCCCACTCAGCCCCCCTCAGACGCCCCCCATCAGACAGTTCCTCCTCAGACAGTCCTCCCTCAGAAAGCCCCCCTCAGCCCCCAGTCCCCCACTCAGGCCCTCAGCCAGCCCCCACTCAGCTCCTCCTCAGTCCCCCCAGCACCCCTCAGACAGCTCCCCTCAGAGAGACCCCAGTGCCCCACTCAGCCCCCCTCAGACGCCCCCCATCAGACAGTTCCTCCTCAGACAGTCCTCCCTCAGAAAGCCCCCCTCAGCCCCCAGTCCCCCACTCAGGCCCTCAGCCAGCCCCCACTCAGCTCCTCCTCAGTCCCCCCAGCACCCCTCAGACAGCTCCCCTCAGAGAGACCCCAGTGCCCCACTCAGCCCCCCTCAGACGCCCCCCATCAGACAGTTCCTCCTCAGACAGTCCTCCCTCAGAAAGACCCCCTCAGCCCCCAGTCCCCCACTCAGGCCCTCCGACAGCCCCCCTAGACAGTTCTCCCTCAGCTCCTCCTCAGTCCCCCCAGCACCCCTGAGACGGCTCCCCTCAGAGAGACCCCAGTCCCCCACTCAGCCCCCCTCAGACGCCCTCCATCAGACATTTCCTCCTCAGACAGTCCTCCCTCAGAAAGCCCCCCTCAGCCCCCAGTCCCCCACTCAGGCCCTCCGACAGCCCCCCTAGACAGTTCTCCCTCAGCTCCTCCTCAGTCCCCCCAGCACCCCTGAGACAGCTCCCCTCAGAGAGACCCCAGTGCCCCACTCAGCCCCCCTCAGACACCCCCCATCAGACAGTTCCTCCTCAGACAGTCCTCCCTCAGAAAGCCCCCCTCAGCCCCCAGTCCCCCACTCAGGCCCTCAGCCAGCCCCCACTCAGCTCCTCCTCAGTCCCCCCAGCACCCCTCAGACGGCTCCCCTCAGAGAGACCCCAGTCCCCCACTCAGCCCCCGTCAGCCAGCCCCCAACCCAGACAGTCCCTCCGCGCCCCCCAGCACGCCCACCCTGTCCCCTCCCGCGCCCCTCACCGCAGTCCAGCTCGTCACTGCCGTCCCCGCAGTCGTTGACGGTGTCGCACAGCCAGAAGCGGGGCTTGCACAGCTTGTTGGCGCACGTGAACTGGTAGGTGTTGTTGCACGCTGGGGGGCCGGGGGTGGGGGGTCAGGGCCCTCAGTGGCGCCCCAACTGGAAGGGCTGTGGAAACCCCCCCCTGCACCCCCCGCCAAGCTCTCGGGACCCCAGAGGGCGGGAAGGGCCTGGGCGTCTGTGCGCACGCGCGGAGGCCCGGGGCGAGGTCGGGGCACCCGGGGGACCCCCACTCACTGCAGCCGAGCTCGTCGCTGAAGTCGGAGCAGTCGGCCCAGCCGTCGCAGCGCAGCTCCTTGCCCACGCAGCGGCCCGTGTTGCACATGAACTTCCCGGGGCAGGCTGCGGGGAGGGGGGCCTGAGTTCGGGGGTCCCTCCTGACCGCGCCAGGGGCCCACCGCCCATCCCCCCCATCGGCTGGACCTGCGCCTCCCACACACCTCACGGTCACCGGGTCCCAGGGAGACGCTGCAAACCCCCAAGCCCCACCCGGGCGGCCCATCGAGGGGTGTGGGTGTATGAATCAAATCATCTGTCTCGCTTTGGGGGCCACACCCAGGGGTGCTCAGGGATCACTATTGGTGGGACTCAGGTGGGGTTCAGGGGGCCCCACGGTGGGGGGGTCAGGGACTGAACTGGGTTAGCCCCGTGCAAGGCAAATGCGCTGCCCGCTGTGCTACGGCTCCGGCCCCGCGGGCTGGGCTGATTTTATTCCGTGATGCTGAGGTTGGGATCCAGGACCTCCCAAGGCACGCCGCCCCCCTGTGTTACTTTGGGGGTTCCCAAGCGATGCTCGGGGAGAGACCCCGAGAGGCTGGGGGACCATCTGCGGTGCTGGGGACTCGGGATACCAGGCAGGCAAGCGCCTTCGCCCAGGCACGGTCCCGGGGCACCGAGGAGTCGCTTTGCAGAGCTGGGAGGCCCAACCTGCTGCTCCCTGCCCCGTGTTTCCCGACAGGCTGACTCTGAAGGGCACTGCCAGGCCACAGAGACACGCGGAGATTCTCCAGGCCACAGAGACACCAAAGGACCCAGGAGGAGGGGGGAGCTCAGCGGGGGGAGGGGGGGCGCAGCAGGTGGGCTTGGGGCTCAGACGTGTCCCCAGGCCCCCGTGCACATGCCCCGCTACACTCTGTGGCCCCTTCCTTCCCCCCAAGGCCACGGGAGCGAAGGGCTCAGGCTCTGAAGCAGCGGGCAGAGACTCACGGTCACTGGAGTCGTACGACAGATACTCGGCCTGGAAGCCCGTGTCGGTGTAGGACTGGTCCGAGTGGAAGCGGACGCGGATTCTGTTGCTCTGGCTGGCCACCACGAACTGTGGCTTCTCCCCGCAGAACCTGCCGGGGGACGAGGGCAGGGAGAGGACCCGTGGAGGGGGGCTCCGGGCCAGCCGCCCGCCCCCCGGGGCCCCGCACTCACCTCTCCCCGTTGACCTCCACGTAGTCCTTGCTGCAGGTGTCCAGCGCCACGCCGGGCTCCAGCAGGAAGAAGAACTTGAACAGCACCTTCACGTTGCGGTCAGCGGGGACCTGTGCGGGGAGACGGTCAGCTCCGGCCATGGCCCCGCGCCCCCAAAGCCAGCAGAGCTGTCCCCTCTCCGACCCCGGGCATGGCGAGCGGTGACACGCAGCGGCAGGACTGGGGTGCCCACACCGGACAGGGGTGACACGAGGGGACAGCCACACGGCAGCAGCCCCGTCCCCTCTGCCCCCTGAGGGGGCGGCCAGAGCCTCTCACACGCCTGCTCCAACGGAGATGGCTGGACGGACAAGTGGATGGGTGGAAAGAACGGACAAACAGACAAGCTGGTGAAGGATGCACGGACAAATGGACAGATGAGATGACAGAGGGATGGACACACAAATGAAGAGATGGAGAAGAGGATGGACGGAGAAATAAATGGACGGATGAAGGGCAGACATTCGGATGGACAGAGAGCCAGACAGACTGATGGATGGCACTGGGCTCTAGGGCGAGGACACTGTCCCTCTCTCCTGCCCCGCGGGGCTGCCGATGGCCCCTCTCGGGGATGAGGCGCCTCAGCCACCCACCCCCTGCCCCGCCACGGCCCCCACCTCGATGTCCCACGTGCAGTCCATGTTGGGCGGGTAGTGGCCTGGATAGTAGGGGCTGCTGAATGTCCCCTGAGTACCACGCAAGGAGCCTCCGCAGCCTGAAAGCAAAGGCGGGAGAGAGTCAGAGTCCTGGGAGCGAGGGAGGGGGTCTAAGCGTGGCAGTACCCCCCCCCACACACACACACACCGGCCCTCGGTGCTCCCCGCTGTGCTCCCCGCCGGCCGCATACCCGGGCAGTGTCCGTGCCGGAAAGAGCCCCTCACGGAGAGAACAGCTCCTAAATGCCCCTGACCTTGCCCTTGCCCCCGGGGCATGCTGCCTGCCCCCTGCCCTCTGCGCCCTCCTTACTGTGCATCTTGGGCAGCTGGAAGAACACGGCCTCGAAGCCGGGGTGCCGGCGCTCGGTGGTGGTGATCAGCGTGACGAGCAGCACGTTCTGGGAGGAGAGGAAGGTCAAGTTGTAGGTGGGCGAGTAGGTACCACAGAGCCTGCGGGGCAGAGGGGACGGGCCACATTAGAGGGGGCAGACCCAGCCCAGGCCGCCCCCCACCCCGGCCCATGCAGAAGGTGCTCTCGTGTGGGGAGCGGGCTCAGAGGCCAGGCTCAGTCCCCAGGCCTGGAGCGGCCCCTGAGCACAGCCAGGCGTGGCCCCCAAACCGAAACAACTCCAGTCATCAACTGAAGGAAGGGCCACTTAAAACCAGGACCCGGCGACCCGGGCTGGCTGAGTGCCTCCGAGTGCCTATTTGTAAGCGCGAGGCCGTGAGTTTGGACCCCGGTGCCACCCACGTGTGCTGAGTGTGGATCTTGCACGCAGGCAGGTGGGGGCGAGCCCCATCGCCAGGGAACCGGCCCCCACCAGCACCGCCTCTGAAATGTGGTCCGAGAGCTGCAGCGTGCCCAGAGGGAGCCCAGGTGGCCGTGAGCACTGCAGCTAGAGCACAATGACCAGGGTGCAGACTCTGAGCCGTGCGCATCCACCCCTGGCGAGTGCCACAGTCGAGACTGTGGCAACAGCAACATCGAGGGAAGGACGCACACAAACGCAGACATGCCACAGGCCCGGCATGAGGGCCCGGAGCCTGGGATCACAAACACCCGTATTCACAGCCCACCGGGCACTGCTCGCCCCCCCTATTATTAACTCCGGGCTCAAAACAAGGCCACGAAGTAGCTGCCACTATTCCCATCACGCAGATAAGGAAGCTGAGGCAGAGTGGAGCCATGACACATCAAGAACGCACAGTTAGGGGGCTGGAGAGATAGCACAGCGGGTAAGACGTTTGCCTTGCATATGGCCGACCCGAGTTCGATTCCCAGCATCCCATATGGTCCCCTGAGCACCGCCAGGAGCAACTCCTGAGTGCAAAACCAGAAGTAAACCCTGAGCATCGCCGGGTGTGACCCCAAAAGAAAAAAAACAAAGAATGCACAGTTAGGGCTGGAGCGATAGCACAGCGGGTAGGGCGTTTGCCTTGCACGCAGCCGACCCGGGTTCGATTCCCAGCATCCCATACGGTCCCCTGAGCACCGCCAGGAGCAACTCCTGAGTGCAGAGCCAGGAGCAAGCCCTGAGCATCGCCGGGTGGGACCCAAAAAGAAAAATAAATAAATCAAAGAATGCACAGTTAATCCACAGCAGGACTGAGAGTCTTTCGCTCCAGCTAGACACTCTTTCCTGCTTCCTGTCCCCTGCACTGTCTGGTCCCCCAATGCTCTCCCGGGAGCATTCCTGAGCAGGAGTAACCCCCAGGCACGCTGGGTATGACAAAAAACAAAACAAAACAAAAACTTTGCAGGTGGGGGGCCGCACCTGGAGGTGCTCAGGGACTATTCCTGGTTCTGCACTCGGAGATCACTCCTGGAGCTGCTCGAGGACCCTAGGGTGCTGGGGACGGAACCCAGATCAGCCTCAGGTAAGGTGAGTGCCTGAGCCTGTGTCGTCTCTCCAGTCTAAGGCGAAAAGTTGGGGGCCGCAGCGATAGTACAGCGGGCAGGGAGTTTGCCTCGCATGCGCTCGACCCAGATTCGATCTCTGGCTTCCTAGATGGTCCCCCAGGTCCCGCCCTGAGCACTGCCAGGTGTGGCCCCAGAAAAGACAAATTTTACAGGAGCCCCAGCGGTGATGGGGGATCCCAGGGCCACCCCCACTGGTGTTGGGGGACCGGGATGGTACTCGGCTCCAAGGACAGGGTCATGCTCCACCCTTGAGCCTTCTTCTGGCCCTCGTCTAACCCTTTAACAATTTCTAGAAAGATGCCAATTAGCGGGTTTTGTTGGGGGGCCACCCCCAGCATGGTTCAGGGACGACTCCCTACCCAGTGCTCAGGGGGTCGCTCCTGGTGGGACCTATGGATGGATATCGGGGCTCAAAACTCCCCCCACATGCAAGCCTGTGCTCCTGCCTCTCCCTGGCCCCCAAGACTTCGTCCTCAGAGAATTCTCTACTTCCTCCTCGGGGGGAGGGAGTCCTCTTATTGCACAGTCAATACGTGGGCCAGAGGGGTCATCCCTGCACACAGGAAGCCTGGGCGAAGCCTTCGCAGGCAGCAATGCTGAGTCCGGGCTGCCGCCTGAACGTGTCGCCAGCCACCCCTCACTGCCCAACACAGCCCCCTTGGCAGATCCTGGGCCAGACACTGCGTGGGACCAGCAAGGGAGTGTGGGCACCCTGACACTCTCTCCTGTTTCCTGTCCCCTGGTGCTCAGCCAGCGGGGGACTCTCGGAGTGTCCACCCACCCTGAGCAGGCAGCAGACAACCAGCGCTAGCCTGGGGCGCCAGGGCCCACTGCACTGTCCTGGCCAGCCAGGGACCGTCCCCTCCCCTCCCTGAGGAAGCAACACGAAGACAAAGCCTCTTGCCCAAGACTGCCTTCTCCAGCCTGGCCTGCTTGGCATTTCCTCTGGGGAATGTTTTGGTCTGTTTGTGGGTCATCCCCGACAGTGCTCGGGGATACTCCTGACTCAGTGCTCAGGGTACCAGTGGTGCCAAGGGTCAAGCTTGGGGGGCTCCGGCCTGCAGAGCATGAGCTACATACAGCCCTGTGAGCGTCTCCTTGGCCGGTGACAATCTTTCAGCCCCTCCCGCCAGCAGAATGGCAGGGCCTCGGGACAGTGGGTGGAGCTGGGCTCTGGCAGACAGCAGGGGGCGCTCTGCTCCCGCCCGGGCCTGGTGGAGGAAGTCACTGACGCCAGCACCTGTGTCCCCCCAGCCCCGCACGCGACCACCTGCCCGCCTTTCCCCACTCCGCAGACACTCACTGCACCACGGCCCGCGGTTCCACGGGGCTCAGGGTGTCGTACACCGTGACCAGGTCAGGGTGCTTGCCGTCGCTGTCGCAGGACGCCACGTCGAAGCTGCGGAAGGTGAGGCTGAGCACGGACTCGGCGTCCCCACGGAGCGTCCACTGGCAGCGGGCTCGTGCGGGGTACGGGCTGTCCGGGAAGCCCGGCGTGGTGAAGCGCAGGGGCTCCTGGCCCCGGGCGTGCAGGGCGAAACTGCAGCTGTCTGTGGGCATAGGACAGGGGGTGGGCAGGCCAGTCGGGGACCCCCGGCCAGCTCCCGCCTCTGCGCCCCCCGGGGCTGGGCCCGTGACTCACTGTCCTGTCTGGTCGCTGCGGTTCGAGGATCGGTGGCTGAAGGACAAGATGGAGAAGAAAAACTTTAGGGACCCAGTCTGCGTGCTCTCCGAGGGGGGTGCCCGGGCCCACGGCGACACTCACGGAAGGCCACCACGGAGGTGAGCTCGAAGCTGTTGAGGTTGCGGCCGCGGGGCGGCAGGCTGATCACACGCTCCTCGGCCATGGCGCGCTCGGCCTCCTGCACCTGGTCCTTGGGGATGCTGAACTCTGACCAGTAGTAGGCGATGACGCTGCCCTCGCTGGGGACAGGAGCTGGCTGAGTGCCGGTGCCCCAGGGACCCGACCGTGCCCACCCACTCCAGAGGCTGCGAGGGGCGGCTGGGAACCCCCCAAACGCACACACAAAGGGGTGACCAAAAGGCGTCCCTCACGGGCCGGAGAGAGTACCGCGGGGAGCGTATCTGCCTTGCGTGCGGCTAACCCGGTTGGCTCCCCGGCACCCCACACGGTCCCCCGAGCCTACCAGGAGTGACCCCTGAGCGCAGAGTCAGGAGGAAGCCCTGAGCACCACCAGGCGGGGGCCCAGAACAACAACAGTAACAACAATGATCAAAATGTTCCTTCTGTGGAGCTTGGTCACCGGAGCCCAGGACCCAGCCCCAGTGCAGCAAGACCCTATGTCCCCCCCCCCCCCCCCCCCCCCGAGACCCTGGGCACTGCAGGGTGCGGCCAGACAATTTAAACAGCATAAAAATAACCCGAGCTGGAGCTAAGACGCAGGCACCAGCCAGACACAGAGCACTGATGCCCAGCCCCCAGCTGCTCTCTGCTATTGGTTTCTCGGGCCACACCTGGTGGTGCTCAGGGGCTGTCCCGGGCTCTGTGCTCAGGAGCGACCCCTGGGGGGGTTCAGGGGCTGATCCGGGCTCTGTGCTCAGGAGCGACCCCTGGTGGTGCTCAGCGGCTGTCCCAGGCTCTGTGCTCAGGAGCGACCCCTAGTGGTGCCCAGATTCAAAGCAGGGATGCAGAAGCTGGCTATTCATGCCAGTGCCTGACCCTCGTTCTGTCCCTCCACACCTGAGCTGCTCTCTAGAAGGAGCAGGACGCCCGTGTGCAGCACTCAGCCCCATCAACGGCCCTAGAACCTAGGAGTACTAGGGGGACGGGCAGGACGGTTCGGGCCTGGCGCTGCGGTGCCGGGGACACGAGGGGGCCCTGTGGGTTCAGGGCTGGGTCAAACCCAGGCCTGCCCTTTCAGTCATCTGCCTGGCCACCGTCTGCTTTCGTGGAGTTTACTTTGAAAGGGGCCCCAGGAGGAGAGCCAGGGGTTCCCAGCAGCCGTCCCTGCATGCCCTGTCCCCACTACTCGAGCTCTTGTCCCCCACCCCACCGCCCAGCCCTGCAGGCCCCTGCACCCACCTGAAGGCTGTCACCTCGGACGCCACGTGGTAGGGGCCGAGCGCCTGGGTCTGGCTGTAGAGCAGCTTCAGCTGCGGGGAGAGAGGAAGTCAGCAGACCCGGGGCAGCCCCCACGGCCCAGGCCGACCCGGGGGTTTGGACCCTGGGAGAGGCGTCCCTCGGGCCACGTGGGGAGGGCAGCAGTGACCCCGGGCTCAGCACCCTGCCCGGGGGCAGAACTCACCGCCTCCTTCACTTTCTGGGCCAGGTTGGCAAACTCGGTGGAGTTGGCGTTCTCGTAGGCGTCCAGGAAGTTCTCGTTGGTGACCCGCAAGTACCCGTTGAAGATCTTGTGGACCTGCTCCTTCCGCACGTTCCGGTCTGGGAGGGAGGGAGGGCGGGGTGAGGGGGGTGCAGGCCCACCAGGTGTGCCAACAGGGCCACAGCCTGGATCAGTGACTGTAGGGGGCCGAAGGCCTGGACAGCTCTGACCCTCCTCACAGCGCCGACCCCCAGCCCTGAGCCCCTCTGCCAGCGGCAGCCTCCCTCCGGGCCTGGACTCAGGGGCCTGGGCTGATGCACAGGGGCCGTGTGAGCACGGGCTAGTGTGCCCGTGGGAAGGCAGCTCACCTCCAGCGGCACTCACACCCACACCAGCCCCGACACCCACACACCGGCCTGATGCCCACACACCAGCCCAACATCCACACATCAGCCTGACACCCACACACCACACTGACACCCACACACCACATACCCACACACCAGTCCGACACCCATGCACCAGCCCGACACCCACACACCAGCCTGACACCCACACACCAGCCCCGACACCCACACACCAGCCTGACACCCACACACCAGCCCGACACCCAGACACTAGCCCGACATCCACACACAGCCCGACACCCACACACCAGCCCGACACCCAGACACCAGCCTGACACCCACACACCAGCCTGACACCCACACACCAGCCCCGACACCCACACACCAGCCTGACATCCACACACCAGCCCGACACCCAGACACCAGCCCGACATCCACACACCAGCCCGACACCCACACACCAGCCCGACACCCAGACACCAGCCTGACACCCACACACCAGCCCGACACAACCAGCCCGACACCCAGACACTAGCCCGACATCCACACACCAGCCCGACACCCACACACCAGCCGACACCCACACACCAGCCCAATACCCAGACACTAGCCCGACATCCACACACCAGCCTGACACCCACACACCACATACCCACACAGCAGTCCGACATCCATGCACCAGCCTGACACCCACACACAAGCCCGACACCCACACACCAGTCCGACACCCACGCACCAGCTTGACACCCACACACCAGCCCCGACACCCACACACCAGCCCGACACCCACACACCAGCCTGATGCCCACACACTACCCCGACATCCACACACCAGATACCCACACACCAGCTTGACACAAATACACCAGATACCCACACACCAGCCCAACACACACACAGACCAGCCTCACACACAGACATACTCACACACACACAACACACACACACACACCAGCCCCGACACCCACATACCAGCCCCGACATACACACATACACACCATCTCTCTCACACACACACACACACACACACACACACACACACCAGCCCGACACCTACACATCGGCTACAGCGCCCACACGAGCCCGACACTCACAATGGAAGTGCCACACCAGCAGCCCCGTGGTGAGCGCCAGCAGCAGGGAGCCGAGCAGCAGGGCCAGCAGCACCACCCAGCGCTTGGGGCCGCGCTTCTCCACCTTCTTGGTGTTGTTCACCGGCAGGAACTCGATGCCTTCCTCGAAGCCGTTCATGCTCTGCGCAGAGAGAAGAGAGAAGCGGCTCAACCAGCGGCCCGGGGCTGGAGCGACAGCACAGCGGGCGGGCAGGGCATTTGCCTTGCACGCGGCCGACCCGGTTCGATCCCCAGCATCCCATGAGGTGCCCCGAGCCCCGCCGGGAGTGATTCCTGAGTGTAGAGCCAGGAGGAGCCCTGAGCATCGCTGGGTGTGACCCAAAAAGCAAAAAAAAAAAAAAAAAAATCGACCAGCGGCCCTGTGGCCCCGGCCAGGAAGAGTGTCCAGGGCACTTACTCTCTTCCCGGGATGGCCCGGCCACCAACGCCACGAGCAGGGCCACGCCGCCGCCCCCTCCACGCATCCCAGAGCCCAGGCCACCCCCGGCATGGACGGCGGAAGAGCTGGTGGTGCCAGGGGAACTGATGTGCGTCCTGGAGGCTCTTCTCCTGAAATGAATCATCCCGGGCGCAGGGAGAAGCCCAGGTGGGGCAGGAGGGGACCAGCTCCAGGCCGGGCGGTGATTGGCCACCGAAGGCCTCCTGCCGACTTCTAAAGGCCGCCCCTCCTCCTGGGGTGCAGCAGTGGGCAGGGCGCCAGGGGCTGCTGGAGGGGGACCCCCCTCAGCCAGGAGCCCGTGGGCAGCACATGAAACGCGTGCCCGCCCCGGGGACCTTGCTCCACCCTTGTTTAACAGCGGAAAATAAAAAAGCGGCAAGTCCAGGCAGGTATACCGAGGCCCAGCTGGACAACCCTTGCTTGCACCCGCCCGCGGGGCTGCTCCCAGCATCTCTGGGCGAGCAGGGAGGTCTCCACGGAATCCACCGCGCAGGGACCAGGACACAGCACAGCAGGGCGGGGGCTTGCCTGGCGCACAGCTGACCTGAGTTCCACCCCTGGCACCCCACACGGTCCCCCGAGCCCTGACAGCAGCGAGCCCTGAGCACCCAAAAACCGGAACGAAACACCAAGGGCTTATGTGAAAAGCAAACGAACCTGAACCTCCTCCAAGTCCCAGGCCAGCAGCCTCCCCACTGCCTTCCCTCCCCGTTCTCCCACCAGGTGGCACCCAGATTTAAAAACATCATATCCAAGACCTGAGCAGGGACAGGCCAGTCCCATGAGATGCGACTGTGTCCTGCCCATCCCCCACCCCCAAAGGACTCTGTCGCGAAGGCCCCCGCCCCATAACTGCAGGCACGGTCAGATCTCTGGGGGACTGCGGGCACCGGCGGCCTCACTGCACCTGGCATGAGGGAACCAACATTTCTGGATCTTTCCAGCTGCCTGTGAGGTTGCTGTAAGGCCAGGTGCCACCCACGCCGGCTGCATCAGGAGAGACCTGTGCCCTGCCCCCGAAACCCGGGCGTTAGCTCCCTAGTGGGTCAGATTTGTGACTTATCTAAAGGCCGCAGCCACAGAGGTCACCCATGATCTATAAGCATATCTGATCAACGGCTACAGAGCAAACCACACACCATCTAGAAACACCACATCTCAATAGGAACACATTTTAAAAAGAAAAAAAAAACCCACAGGCAACCATTTAAAACACTTTCAAGTGGGGCTGGAGAGACAGCACAGCGGGAAGGGCGTTTGCCTTGCATGCGGCCGACCCGGGTTCGATTCCCAGCATCCCTGGGATCCCAGCATCCCTGAGCACCGCCAGGAGTAACTCCTGAGTGCAGAGCCAGGAGTAACCCCTGTGCAATGACAGGCATGACCCAAAAAGAAAAAAAAAAACAAAAACAAAACAAAAAGCCACTTTCAAGAGGCTAGAATAACAGTACAGTGGTCAGGGCATTTGTCTTGCACACCCCGACCTGGGTTTGATCCCCAGGACCCCCGCAGGGGTCCCCTAAGCCTGCCAAGAATGATCACTGAGTGCAGAGCTGGGAATGAGTCCTGAGCACTGCTGGTGTGGTCCAGAAAACAAAATGAACAGAAAGGATGGGCAAGCACCTTAGCTTCTGCACGACTGGCCCCTTCCGTATTCTAATTTTACTTGAGAAATAGATAATTCAGACCCGGGATTTCGGTGTGTGTGACTGGTCTGGGCCACATCTGACAGTACTCAGGGCTTACTCCTTACTCAGGGATCACTCCGGGTGGTGCTTGGGGGCCTTTTCATGGCTCCAGAGAGCAAACTGGGTGGGCTGCGTGCAAGACAAGAGCCCCCCAACACACACACCGGATATTGCTCTTGCCCCAGACCTGGGTTCTTCATTCACGATTTTATTATTCTGAGAGCTCTGAGGATAAGCCTTGAATTGGGCCTGTCGATTTTATGACACCTGAGGATTATTGCTCCACTTGCCCTTTGAATTCGGAAGATTTCCCATATCGTCCTATCGTCCTTCCCTCCTTCCCTCTGATGGGCATTTCTGGAGTTCCTGTTGTCCTGTCTACTTTGTTCTCGGTTATTGTCCACCTCTTTCCCTAGCCTATTTCTGCGATCCAAACTTCAATTTCTAAGAGTTCTTCCTTGATCTCTTGAGGTCTGAATGCAAAATGTTCCCATGCTGAATCTCGAGGAAATCGCCTTTGTCTCCCTTTGACTTGCTCTTCCAAGCTGCACGTTTGCCCGGAAGTGTCCAAAGACCTGGGCTCAGGAAAGGGCCCCCGAAGACCGTTGGGAAGCTCTGTGTGCCCCAGTAGCTACAACCTCCCACACAGGCCACAATTAAGTGTCTGGTCAGGTGTCTGTTTGTGCCACACTCAGCAGTGCTCAGGGGACCAGGCAGTGTCAGGGAGAAAACCAGGTTTCAGCAAACACAGGCTGTGCCCAGCCCACTAGCTCTCTCCAATTTCTTTACTGGGCAACCCCAACAGTTCGGCAATGTGAATCTTTCCTTCTTGCTTTGCTTTTAGGGGTGACAGCCAGGGGTGCTAGGGGCTTATTCTCGGCCTTTCGTTCAAGGATCTCATTTGGTGGGGCTCAGGGAACACTTGGTGTTGCTGGGTATTGAACCCAGGCCGGCTGTGTGCCAGCCAAAGTCTACCGGCTGTGCCATCTCTCCAGTCCCTCATCCATGGAACTGAAAGTAACAGTTTCAGTGACCGCAACTGACGGGTATCAGTTACACAACAAGCAAAGGTCTGTATCAAACGGCACAATAATCAGATTGGGGGCTCACATAAACACCCACAAAATCGGGGCTGTGAGAGTACAGCAGGTAGGGTGTTTGCCTTGCACGCAGCCGACCCAGGTTCAATTCCCAGCATCCCATATGGTCCCCTGAGCACCGCCAGGAGGAATTCCTTAGTGCATGAGCCAGGAATAGCCCCTGTGCGACGCCAGGCATGACCCAAAAAGAAAAAAAAAAACACCCACAAAATCATCCACACAATCAAGATCATGATCTTCTCCACCACGTTGAGAAACTAAGACACGTAACTTCCAAAAACTGTTAACTGACATTGTTTCCGGGGCTGAGATCTCCAAGCCTACTTGGATCAGGGCTGAGCATCCTCACCCAGATCCTCCAAATTCCAGTAGGCGGGGCTCAGACCCACCAACTGGCCCCCTGGCGCCGTGTAATCCCATCAACTGCCAAGACTTAGAGACTATAAAACCCAGCTCCCGGAAGCGCGCGCGGCCGCATTCGCACCATCTTATCATCTCATTCCTACTTTGGACAAACTGGCAGGCTACTGAATGTAACCTGCCCACACGGCAGAGTCGAGTCTGGCAAACTCCCCGTGGTGTCCCCAATATGCCAAATACCAGTAACAATGAAGGGTCTCATTCTCCTAACTCTGAAAGAGCCTCGAATGTGGCACTTTTAAAAAAAATCTCAGGGCTAGGACGAAGGAGACGTTACTGGGGCCTGCTCGAGGCAATCGACGAACAACAGGATGGCTGTGATTGTGGTTGTGACTGTTTTCGCTTGAGAGCAAAGGCCCAGTGATGCTCGGGGGCTCCTCCCAGCTCCCAGCTCCGTGCTTGGTGGTGCCAGGGGGTCGGACCCAGACCCCTGCCATGTGAAGTATGTCCTCTGTGTCATGTCCCGGGTCCCCAGCCTTAGAATTTCGCCTTTCTCTTTCTGGCTGTGGGTTTCCTTTCCTGGCTCTCTGGTCTCATGGAACAACACTAAGCAACCGCAGGACTTTAGCCCAGGTCTCGGGACAGTGCGTGCGCTTCAGGAAGTGAATGTTGAATTCCAAGGGAGCCAGCAAGGTCCCTTTCCCACCGGGTCCTCACGGCACCCCTGGAAGCACTGAGGGGGGACTGGCCCCTGTGCTGGACACCAGGCTCGGGCGCAGCTGGATGCAGTGATGACCACACGGCTGTTCGGTGGTAAAGGCCATGAGCCGGGTTCCCTGCCGTATTCAGAGCACTCGGAGACAGGGGAAAGCAGGAGAGGATGGGGGACTGCAGCCTCCCCGGTGGGACAGGCTTGGTGGCAGGACCTGGGTTGGAGCCGCCTAGGAACGTGGGGCCCACTCAGAAACGCTGTGTAATGAGTAACGAGGCTGCAGCCTTTTATGACCCTCCGCTCGCCTCCACTTCCAGACTCGTTTTATGGATGGGGACAGCAGGCGGAGAGAGTGACCAGTCCAAAGTCACGATGACAATGAAGACAGTCACGCCAGACACAGCCACACCTGCGGCCCCTGCCCGCCGGGCGGTGCACTCGAGGACCCGTGGTGGAAGGCGCAAGGGTTGGTCCCCAGCACTGCTGGCCATGGCCATGGCCCCGAAACAAAACAATAAGGATTATTGTTCAAAACACACAAGAGGGGAACTGGAGAGATAGCACAGCGGGTAGGGTGTTTGCCTTGCACGTGGCAGACCCGGGTTCGATTCCCAGCATCCCATATAGTTCCCAGAGCACTGCCAAGAGTAATTCCTGAGTGCAAAGCTAGGAGTAACTAACCTGTGTGCATCACCAGGTTTGACCCAAAAAGCAAAAGCAAAAGAAAAAAACACACACACACACACACACACACACATGAGGGACGCAAATCCGCCCCACCACCCCAGCAGGTGAGTTTCTTTTTGGCTTGTTTCTTTATCT